TTTCAGTGTCTGGCCGCTTGGGCAGGACATCGTGTACAACAGGGTGTACGACAATCAGCTGCGCGCGGCTGCGCGGGCTGGATCCATCCCAGAGCAGGTCATGGAATACAACGACCTGAAGGAGAAGTGGGATGAGATTGCGGCGCAGCTGGCCAACGAAGAAGCTGAAAGGAAGGCCGGCGCCGAGCTTCTGGAGCCAGATGACGAGCCTGAAGAGGCATCCATGCAGGAGCTGCGGAAAGGTCAAGCCCACTTCGTCTTGGTCAGTCCTACGTGACATTGCTGCCGGAACCCAAGACGCAGGCGGCTGTGCAGCAAGCTGTTTGTCAAAGCCCACTGGGGTCTTTTGAGGCAGCTTGCCTCACGTTGCTCGACCTGTGCTTGCTTGGTGAGAGCATAGGGCCAGACTGCGCAGAGGGTCTTCGTAAAAAAAACAACAACCCCACTGAAGAAGTGCTTCGGAAGCTGGTGCAAGGCGCCATGCTTGCCAGAGGAGCGCGCCCGAAAGAGGACAGTCAGGCAACGAGTCCACCCGAGGGGGACGTTGTCCTGATTCACCTCGGGGACAAGCCGAAGGGAAGTTCGACCCCTCTTTCGCCTGCGGACGGCGCGGCAGGATGCCGCCATTGACTGCGAAGAACGAGAAATCCTCATTGCCTTTCAAGACGAGGCCGTCCGTGCCCGTAAGAAACTCAGCCGTGGGTCGTACTCACTCCGCTCGACACGGGTGGCCTACTCAGATTCGCCGCTGATGAGCACCATTCCGGAGAAGCAGTACCCCCACCACGGCGGATGGACCTTCGCGGACGTCCTCTGCCTGGTAAAAGCCTTGCCGCCCAGTGAGATGTGGCATATGTCTCGGACGCTTTGCCTGCAGCCAGCTTTTTTTTTAACGCTTTGCATTATTTGTTGATATCAAAATCTGTTGCATGCCCCCCGTCCCTCCCCACCCTTCCCCGCTCCTTCCTCGCTTGGCCGCAGGAACGACAAAGAGGCCGTCCTTGGCAGTGAGCGCCTTGTGAAGGCGACTGACGCAGCTATCGAGAAAGCGACGCGGAAGGACGACTCCTCGCCGGAGACTGTCTTCAGCGCTTTCTCTTTGCCCACGGAGGTATACACTGACATCTTCGCAGCTTGGGGGGCAAAATCCGTGCTGGACTTGTCAGCTGGTCAAGGCCAAGCTGCTACAGCCTGTCTGCAGCTCCGTCTGTGCTGCGTTGCTTTCTGCTTGACTGAAGCGCACGCACAAGCTCTCGAGAAGAGACTGACAGACCATGTCCTCACAGCCATGCAGGACGAGGGCTCGACATTTTACAGGCCGGAGATGGCTCAGAAGAAGGAAACAACAGAGACTGAGGAGCCCGAAGACAATCCAAAGCCGAAGGGAAACCCGAAGTCGAGTGGCAAGGCGGCTCCTAAGCCTAAGCCGAACAAGAATAAGAAGAAAAAGGAAGAAAACGCAGATGACGAAGATAATGAGGAGGAGCACAAGAAGAAGAAGGCGCGCGCCAAGCGTGACCAAGACGACGAAGACGACGACGACGGGGGCCGCTCAGACTCCATGCCGTGGTGAGTCTGGTCAGACGGCGCTCTGCGGAGCCAGCCTGAGCTGTAAGCCAGGGTAGAGTGCGGGCGCAGATGTCTGTGGACGCTGCTGAATTTCTGTGGCGCGCGTTTGTGACTGAGTCACGGGGCTAAGTCCCTGAAGTTCTTTAACACATACGCTGTGGCAAGTTTTTTCCCCTTTCAATCTAGCTGTTACATCTGGGTGATTGGCCTGAAGTAACACAGTATCATTCAAGTAATGCTCTTCCCACGGCTGGCTGTCGCAAACTTTTGCACCGGCGTCGAAGCTGGTGACAAAAAGATGCTTCGCAGCACAGCCAAGATTTCTGAGCTGTTTGTCTTGGCTCGGGACAGTCCTGTCGCTGCACAGCGGCTATACTATATACGCTTTCCGCAGCCGTTTCGGTTCTTTCGCTTTTTTCGGGCCGTTGAAGACACTGAGTCCTCGGCCGAACCTCGCTGCGGCGAGCCTGGCTTAACCTCGCTGCGGCGAGCGGGCAAGCGCCTCTTCAAAGCGACTGCCTCGGGGGCCATATATGGCCATGGGCTCTTTCAAATTGCGCATGATAAAGTTTTGGCTCAGGCTCGAAGTCTGGTCAGTTTTGGCTGCCGAAGCAATGGACCATGAGAAAGCAGTGAGAGACTTGAGAAACTGCACGGACATGGCCGCCGCTGCACTGCAGGCTGTTTTGATGTTCGACGACGCGCAGGATAAGTTTGATGGTCTCTTCATCACTGTTCGCGAGAAGATGTGCTTTGAAGGGTTCAGTGAGGAGGTGGCCGCAGCCGATGCTTTGATACGAAATTTTTTGGATCGCTCGCGCCGGGTAGAGAAGGCGCTCGCTGAACACGTCGTTGAGATGATGGATCCTGCCCGCCGAGCACAGGCCGGCGGGGCAGCCGCAGCTAACAGCGAGGAAGCGGCCCGCGGGTCAGAAAGTCCTTGACATGGCCTGCGGGCCTGTGGCCTGCGGGCCATCGCCGTGGCCTGCGGGCCTTGTTTTGGCCTGCGGGCCTTGTTTTGGCCTGCGGGCCTGCGAGCCTTGTTGTCGGCCTGCGGGCCTTCTCATTGCCCGCGGGGCGGCGAGCCTCGTCGGCCTGCGGGCCTTGTCGTGGCCTGCGGGGCTTGTCATGGCCTGCGGGTCTTGTCGGTTGTCGTGGCCTGCAGGCCTTTCAGCGGGCCTGTCCGCCTGCGGGCCTTCCGGCATGTGGGCCAGGACTTCGGACTTGGCACGCTCAGACTGGCCTCGTCGTCGTAAGATTTGTATTTTATTGGAAACCAGCCGTCGCCGGACTTCTGCAGCTTCCACTCACGTGACTTGACACTTGGTTAGTCTTAGTTAGACACAAGCGCAGGCGAGTGTCAAAATAAATGGGACCGACTTGCACTGCTGCGCGCGGCGAGCGCGCGCGCCAAGTCTAAGCTATCTGCGCGCGCGGGCACTCCGGAGCGTCCATGACAGCGTCAGTGTCTGGCAGAGCAAGCTGAAGCAATCCGTGCGCGCGACCAAGCTAAATTAGGTATCCGCGCGCTCCGGAGCGCGCGGAACCTTGCGTGGTACCCAGCACGCGCTCCGGAGCGTGCGAGAACGCCGCGCGTGCACTTTGCGTCTAGCTGAGCGGCTGGTTGGCGGGCGACGACCGCCTCCCGTCAGGCGGGCGGAGCAATGCGAATGTCTGACCGATGGCTGGACCAAGATTCGCTTAGAGTGGAAGACCAAGACGGTGTTGGGCTCGACTCGTCCACGGGCGCCAGATCCAAGCAATGGCAGCGCCCGCTGAAAATGACAGCCTGGGTGCCGCCGGGAATGTCAGCTGACGTTCTCGGTCGAGCGGTCGATGACCAGCGCTCAGCTGAGTTCCCCGCAGCTTCAGTTTCAACGCGCGAGATGGCGCGTGCATGTAAATTACGAGCAGCAATGCCAGCATGGAATGACATCCACAGTGTTTCAGTCAGCTTGCAAACCCCCTACACGACAAGCATTGCTCAATGAATCGTATATACCCGCCCGGCCTTGCAGAAGTCCCTTACCCAATGCAACCACGCACCCGAACCCGCTAAACCCGCCCGACCCTGCAGCCAGAAGTGCCCCCCACCCAACTCAACCACGCAACCGCTAAACAACGCCAAGCCTACAGAAGCAAGCTCTGGTGCATGGCGCACGGCCTTCATATATCACTCGGGACAGTGGGCGTGGAGCGCCTTTGGCGCAACTATCAGCGGAGCTCGCAACAAAGGCCGCAGCCAGGCTGCAGCAGACACGGTGGAGGTGCTGCTCACGTGGCGTTGGCTTCAGGAGGTGTCTGGGCGCGTGACTGCGCGCCGCAACGCCGAGGGCGAGCGCCGTGGCAGACAACAGGCGGCGCGCGAGCAGCAGATGCTCAACATCTCCGAGATGATATTCATGTTTGGTACTTCTTTTTGTGGGGCTCGGAAAGGCCTATTCCGTGCCCTACAAGGCCGGGTCTGGCAGGAAGGGTGAAGATGTGAGGCCTTGCCCGTTGCAAGCTCCACAGGCCCACGAAACTTTTCGCAAAAAGTCAAAAAGTCAAAAACTTTTCGACTTTTCGACTTTTCACTTTTCGACTTTTCGAATCAAAAACACACAGTTTTCATTTTGTGTCCGTGACCAGCCAGAGGACACCACTCAAAACCTGGCCCTGAACTTGATCTAGGCCCAAGAATTTGCTTTCTTGTTTTTAGGGCCTCTGGGCCTTTGAAAGCACAATGCTGAGAAGTACCAACTCCTGTTGCGTGGAAGATGAAAGCCCATCTGCTTCATCTGAAACCCATATAGCAACCGACAAGCCTCATCTAGAGAAAAAGACCTGCTAAACAATCCAGACTGTCTGCTTCATCAGATGCACATAAAACGGTCTGCCTGGACAATGGGGGGGTAACATATATATATATATATCCATATATGCACAATAGGCACACTGTACATGTTAAAGTTATGTGTGTATGTATGTGCGTGTATACAGATGTTGGATTTCCCATGGCTGGCATTACCAATGCTAGGGTACTTAGAGCATCCAATGATGTCCGTTGGACATCGTTTCTACAAACGACGCCGTCTGATGCCCCTGTTGCGAATGATGCACTTTGGCAGCAATTCAGCCGCGATTTGGCGAGAATTCGGCCGCGATTTGGCGAGAACAGCCGCGATTTGTAGGCCTGGCTGCGTTTAGCATCGTCAGATGCTGTTTTTTAAAAAGGTGTCCAACGCGCGACGTTGGATTGTCTAAGTAAAACACATGTGCGTCACCAATACTTCGTAAGCACCAAATCGGTGTTCAAATGATGTTGAGGCCACCACTTGATCTTGCGAACCAACCAATTCCAGAGTTGGTTGAAGGGACAACAAACGTATTTGTTGTAGGTTTGTTCTTGCCCCAACCCATTAAGGCAATACTTCAAGCCACACACCGTCCTGTTTGGCGAAGCGAAACTCGATGCCCTGCAGCTCCACTGCCGTCTCCAATTGAGCCTAGGCGCTTCATTCTGATGACTCATTTAGTGTTGAAAACATCCAACTATTCTTGACTCGTGTGGCTCTTGAACCCTCTCGCCCTGTTCCTGCAAGAGCCTACGTGAGAGAAGCTGTGCCAAGATGCTACTTTCAAATAGAGAAACTCCAAGTTTTGCCCCAAACTTCCACCACTGGCGTCACCCACTGGGTCAGGCATATCATTGCTCTCGTTCATGTCACGCTGCAAGACGTTCTTCACCAAGTCTTCCAACTTCTGGTGCGCGGTCTGGTTGGACATGGAGCAATTGTGGCACGAAGTCCCAGAGGTACCATTGGTGTGATTGGTGCCATTCAGCTCAGCCACGCCCCGGGCATTTTTGGACATCTGCGCCTTCAAGGACAGCAACGATGCACTTTTGGCACAAGCTGAACCTTCCAGCGATGGCCACAAAGTGGCCAAGACAAAGACACGCATGGCGAGCATGTGTGGAGTAAGATGAGATCAAAACAGATCGTAAGGTCGATTTCTTGTAAGGTGTCTTGAGTCGGAAGCAACGGGCAAAATCTTCAAACATCCTTGGCCTCGCAAGAAGCATTGCCAAGGTGACTTTGGAACACTCCGCGCACATGAATCCCACCCCCGTGTCACGATTGCGGATCGACTCCCACACGTCAAGGTTTGCCATGCGATCTCGACTCTGGATGTGTCCATCACCTGCTTCACACCCGGCTGTCATCAGACCACGCAAGTTGAACGAATAACCTGGCATATATCCAATTGGCGCCATTGGAAGCTTGCCGGAAGCCATAGTGGGCATGAGGCAGGCCAAGTTTTCAGTCTTTGCGATAATTGAGTTATTCAACTGTGAATCTGGCGCCTCTTGCAACTTGCCCTCCTTTTACCTCAACTTGAACTGCCATTGCAATTGGCAGCTGATCGTCTTGTAACAACAGACATTTTCGCATCGCACGCTGGTTTTCCCCGCTCTGGCTCTGGCATTCGCCCAGCAAACTTCTAACAGGATTGATGCGCGATGGCATGATGTCTTCGATATCCGACGTGTTGAATGCAACGCTTCAGTCGGCCAACCGTCCCTCCGAACAAACCAAACTTTGTGCAAAACAACAATCCAGCCCTTGAAAAAAGCCTAGACTACGCAACGTGTCCAAACAAGTGCTGGTCACTGAGAGCGGCAAGCGGACAAGAGCCACTGCTTTGGAAAAGTAAGAGCGGAAGGGGCAGGCGCCCAGTAGCCAAGCGAAGCCCCCAACAGAGCCTTCTCGCTCGCGTCTGGGATTTGCTCAGGCACAGCTTGGTCCGACCTCACATGTCACTGTGATCCTTTTTTCTCTTCAAGGCGCCATGGCCAGGATAGGGCCAACCGTCCTGGCCGCGCAGATCGGCGTCACCTGGGTGATTTTCTCATGGATCTTCTTCCAAATCCACGCTCTGGCCGCTGATGAGTCACTCCCTGGTCGATGTCCCGCATGTCTAGCACCGACCTCCCAACATCATCTTCACTCCAAGCGCTGCGCGTGTGTCCATGCTGCTTTCGTTGCCAGTGCTGGGATGAGGCCTTTCACCTCGTATGTAGACAACCCTCGTGTCCTCATTCCAGGTGTGCTCGTCCTTGGCAATGTCCATTGTGTGCAATGGGGTCTAATCTGACGATGACTCTGCCATGGCACACCAGACCGTTGGGGTCTGTAACTTCAATCTCATCAAGCCCTGCTGGCACACAGCTGAACATCACAAGGAACCCAACTCGCATGGGATTAGTTGACTCACCTTTTCGATATCTTGGCCAGAAGCAGTGATACATCTGTGTCTTGTGACGGAAACTGTTTCCTGAGGACCCGGCAACAAAAAATGTTTTAACCATTTAGTCTTACTTTAAATTGTTTTGCAACTAAGAACTACATATATGATATCCTGTAATTGTATTCATATGTGTGTGTCTATTAGAGGATTTACGTATATATAAATATAGATATACATACACAGAAAACCGAGATGTGTACAATTATTCAAAAATATACATGCATTTAACCAAAGGAAGTTTAGTTAGAAGGAAAATTTCCGCAATCCGAAAAGTGGAGTCACCCACATGCGAAACATTGGAAGGGTACCCCTGTTTTGCGCACGGGGTCGCCACGTTCTCGCCACGGTCTCGGAAAGTTGCCCATCGGCACGGTCGCGCAGACTGTTTCGGAGTTGAAATGGTGTGGCAGGCGCAGCGCTTTGTGCAACCTGAGGTGCAGATTTCGTGGCAGGTGCGGCATTTTGCAGCCATGCAAGGCCGATTGCAGATTTCGTGGCAGGCGAAACACTTTCGCAAGGTGGAGTACGGATTTCGTGGCAGGCGCAAGCACTACCGCAAGGTCAGGTGATAGATCGAGACAGATAGATAGATGGCATGGGGCAGGGGATGCTTTCTTTCTCTTCCCATAGGCACATGTCCTGTCCAGAAGCTTCCGCCGGCTTAGTGCCTCAACAATTCCTATTCTATATTACTGCTATACCGTAATGCTTTCCACGTTGTTTCATGTGCCACTCACACTATCCCTTGCGCTACAAGGCAAACAGATAAATGTTTTGTGTTTGCTGTGTTAAACACATATTGTTCAACATCTTACTATATTTTACGCACAAAATCTGCGGCAGCCTACCATCCACATTCTGTGTAGATATTGATGCCTGTTTGACAAATATACAAACATAAAACTGTTCACACACACATACATATGTATATATATGGAAATGAGGGACTGCCAAAACCTTTTGCCTGGCCTTGGTAGAGATTTTGAGGTTCTCGGTTTTGGGGGGTCTTTGTCCTTCTACAGTGTTTCAACGCACTCACAACAGTTTCGCAACATTTCAAAACCAAATAGTGCACTAAGACTTTGTAATACAAGTCTAGTACACCAAGCACACTTCCGCTGCTCCAGCTCGTAGCAAAAGTCGAGTACGCGAAGTGCACTTCCGCAGCTCCAGCTTGAAAATCGCAACTTTGTAGTGCAAGTCTAAGCGCACAAAGTATACTTCCCCAGCTCCAGCTCGAAAATCACAACTTTGTAGTACACGTCCAGTACCTGAAGTACACTTCCTCATCTCCAACAGAAAAATCACACTTTGTAGTACAAGTCTAGTACACCAAGCACACTTCCGCAGCTCCAGCTCGAGAGAATCGCAATTGTGTGGTACAAGTCGAGACCGCGAAATACACTTCCGCAGCCCCAGCTCGAAAATCGCAACTTCGTAGTACTAGTCTAGCACGCGAAGTAAATTTCCACAGCTCCAGCTCGAAAATCGCAACTTGAGGGTTATCGGTTTGGGGGGTCCTTCTCGTTCTACAAGGTTTCGTGCAGTTCGGACATGCAATTCAACCCCTCTTGGTGAAGCCGTCTTCGTAGGTTTTGACCGTGGCTTATATATATATATATGTATTGATACACATGTCCTAGACTATATTGAAGTTGAGCTACCACAGCAAAATTCATATACCCAACCCACATCATACCAACAAATATTCATAGGCACTTGGGTTGCCGAATGTCAAACATCAAAATAGAAAAGGAGGCAAAGCTTGCGCCCATAGTAGCATATGCACGTAACGCAACACAGAGCGAGCTACGGTAGACGCCCGCAGCTCATCTTTTCAGGGACCCCTCTTCTGGTTGGTCAGGGGAAGCCAGAAAAAACCACTTTGAGGGTCCCCTACAAGACACGCCCACGCCAAAAACGAAATAAGGCAACAAACGCTTCTTGGAAATTCCTGTCGTCAAGGCCTGCCCACAAAATGTAACGTGCTTGACTGCACGTATGGCTTCCAGTCCGGAGTCTCGCACAACCCCTAGATTTCTTACAGTAACTCCATCCAGATGCGTTGTTGTCTTTTATGCTGGCTTTGTAATGAAAAGCAATTGGTATTCCAAGCCGAGAGAGTCAGTTCCAAAAAAAGAAGCTAGAATGATTGTTGGCCAGTTGGGTTGTGTAGTTTATCGAAGAAAGAGTGCTAAAATTACTTCAGAGCGCAGACGTCAAATTCTGGAAATATATGCATCAGTTCTGCTGATTGTGATGCTTGTCAAAATGTGCGCAAGCCAATCCCGCATTTTTCCAGTTCCTTCGAATAGTTCGTCTCATTTTCGTGTTAAAAGTTCTTCCTTTGTGTTTAGCCACATGTGCACGGCTGCGCGTTTCCTCGGTGCCACACAAAATCTTCGCGGTGGAGTCTTGCTTTGCAGCACTCTACCACGAGGCCATGCCACCTGCAGTGTGGTCCTTTTGCAGTTGGGACGAATTCGGCGTGGGAAGACTCCCTAGAAGCAGCCTCTTGCCAACAATCATGCAGTGGGCACGGGGTCAATCTTCTCAAAACGATTGCCTGGCCAAAGCGTATAATCTGCAAAAGGACCACCTAACGTGCGGCGCGCAACAGGCAGGCCGCAAACTGAAAGCATTTGTGTCTGCTGCTCAGCCGCTTCCTTGATTGCTGGCGAGCCCCTGCTTAGCAAGGCATCACCACAAACGAAAGATTTGAGGGTTGGGCAAAACTTGTCGTAACTGGGTCCAAACTGTCCTCCCTCCAACCAGCAATCAAAGGTGAGCATTTTCAAAAGGGTTCAAGAAAGGCGGTTTCAATAATTTTCCCAACAAAGGTAATCTTGAGAAAGCGTTTGCCCATGTTCGCTTGAAAGGACCCAGCTCCATAAGGAGACTGAACAAGGGCGGCTGCCCCTGAAATCAGGAGGTAAACAAGGCATCCTTGGCAAGCAGTACCGAGGAGTTGAAATTTTGCAGATTGGGAAAAACCGTGCTCTGATCTGCGCTGTCGATGCCCATCCACTGGGCAATGGGCAACATCATGCTCTCCCAGGGGTATTGTGGGATCAGGCGGCCCCTGCCTGGCTGCAGGGTGCGAGATTTGTTGAACCAACCCACCCAGCTGGCCCCTTTAAAGGGAAACCGAAACCGGTTTCAAAGCGGATTGGTTGTCTTCAAAAGTGTTCAGAAAACCCGTGGCTTAAACATCAGAAAGCCAGCGATTGGTGCTTCCTGCCTGCATCGAAGAGACTTCCCTCTGCCAGGGCCGAGGGGAACTTGTTGTAGATGTCCCCACCACGGAGAGAGCCACCAACCACGAAGTAGTTGCCGGCCCAGCCGTGGTCGGTGCCCTATGCATTCGGAAGCCAAACAAAACGGCCAAACAAGTGATGAGGGCAAAATCGACGCATCGAGCTATAGTTTCGGGTCCTTATCGACTGACGTGGAACTCCCATCTCGCTAGTCCAACGCCAAAAAAAACATACTGTGGATTGAAGAACCACGCCAGGCACTGGTTGGATCGATCATATTTTGCAATTGGCGCGCGGCCCCTCAAAATGGGTGGCTCACCCTTGGTATCCCTGTAAACCAGCTCTAAAATTGGCACCCTTCAAAAACAAGCACACTCATTTAGCACCCGCTCTGTTTACCTGCCCCAGCCTTTCCGTTGGAGGTCAAGGTGCGGCCGAAATCGGAGGAGGTCACCAGGGTCACCTCGGGTTTTGCCGAAGGGCGCTTGGACTCAATTGGAAAACACGCCCCCGAACAACAATCGACCAAGAAGAAGAAAACAACAAACATCAACAAACTTCCCAAGCAAAAAAACACACCAACATGAGAAAGGAGAAGACGGGCGCGACTCACTTGCTGAGTGGACTGGCCAAAAGCAGTCTGAACGCATGATCTGCCAAAAAATGTGTAAGTCCAGGAACTCACGGATGCACATTTCCTAATTCAGGGTTATTTAGGGAAATTAACTAGTAAAATATTGTTTTCTTGTTTAGGCGTCCTAGACAGTCGGGGAATGAGCAAGTCAACCAACTTCCTAGACAAAAAGGAGCCAACTTACTAGACAAAAAGAAAAACGTGCGTTTTCCACTGGTTGCAGGTCGCCAGGTCAAAGATGTTTTGGGCCTGCAGCTCCTTCACCAAGCTGTGCACCGCTAGGTCCACAGCTTCAAACCTGCAGTAATAGAATGTCGGGATATCTTTTCGAGGGTGCCGCTTTTTGGGTTGGGGCAGACTCTTTTTCGCATAGGGACAGGCCAGGATACCGTTTCCGATTTTGGGACCCAAATGAGTGTGCTTTTTTGGGGCCCAAAACCGTGGTTTTCCTTGCGGTTTCTCCTTAAGCGGCTCCTTGAAAGGTGCATCCCCAAACACCGCCTCCTTTACAAAGATTCAATGAACAAAAACCTAGGATTCCTTGAAGGATGCATCCAGAAACCAACCTGCTTTAAGCAGATTCAGTGAGAAAAGGAGACCAACTGTACCCCTGAATAAAGGGAAAGCTTCCAGGGTTGCGCCTAAACCTTTCTGGTCGGTTAGAAATTTTAGCAGGCAGTCTGTCCAACAAAGAGGATTTTTTTGATTGTGGGTCTGGCCTAAGACAGAAAGAACCCCTCCATGCAAAGAAGGATTGCCTTTGCATAGTACAGACTTTCGAAGGCGGAGAAGCTGATCGACTGGGCAAGCTTTGCGAATTGTCCACGCACCTGTGGCATTTGATTGAAACTCGAAAGTTATGGCAAGCCTGCGCGCTGATTCAACAAATGATCCCTCTTGCGACTCGGTTGCAAGGCAATCGTTCTCGTTCGACACTGGTTGGGCCAAGGTTCGAACAACCTCCTTCTCCGGTCGCAAGTTGCTACAAACGCACCCTAGGTCGAGGGTCGCGCCCCTTTGCACCTGGATGCTCGGTGGATCCGCGCGAAACCGAAATGAGGACAAAACTGTGCCACAATAAGGGGGCCCTAGAAATGGCGGCAAAAAAGACGCAGACCCATCTGGCACGGGGCTTTTCTGCAATCTCATCATGGGCGTCGTTGTGGGTGTCAAATCCTCCGAGCTCCACGTAAAAAAAGTCCCGCTCCGCGCCGCGCTCCTCCCGGGTCGAAATGAGCTTGGCCACGGTGGCGAATTGCTTGAGCAGCTGGCCCTGGCTTTCGGGAGCCAAGGAAGCAGCTCAACATGATTCCTTGCTCCCTTTGGCTTTTTAGACTCAAGTGGTGGTTTTCATTTTTGTTTCTTAAAACAACCACAAAGAGGTACCCTCGAAAAGACACACCCGTATTACAGAATCCGCATTCTTGAAAAGTCTCAAAAGTCTATGCCTGGGAACCTCCGAGAAGCAACTCGGAGTGGATTGGCACATCAAAGTCCGAAATGCTTGTTTACCGCAAGCATGCCTGCCCCGAGAAAATCAACAAGTCCAGGATCCCTCTAAACAAAATGGTTTCATGGCCTTCCCAAAGCGCGCAAGGCCCAGGAACTCGGGAGAGGTGGAATCCATCGAACTCCCGGACCCGCCTGAGACCCTTCTGCCTCTGGAAACGTGGTGCGCAGCGTGACGTTGGCGAGCTGAGCGGCCATGTCCTTCACGTCGTCCACCATAGGGCCGATGTTCCGCGCATATTCCTCGAGGTAGATATTTCCTCAAGCACCCCCATCCCTGACAAAACACTTCTTGGCTGGGAAAAGGGAACAATGAAGGACCGAAAGAGTGGCCAAACATTGATCCACGAAAATGAATCGCCAAACTAGCACCCCAAAAAATCTGGCCAACAAGTGACACCAGGAACGCGAAAGAAACAAGACTAAGCCAACCAGTTCGTCAATTCTAGCAATGCTTCCGTACTTCTCTGCTGTGATGTTCTCAATGAGGCCTCTTCGAGACTCATAGCCTTGGAGGATTGGAATTTCACCTCGCTTGTCCACGGACCTCTGGATAGTTGCAAATCCTGGCGCTGGGCGCCAAGCGCAACCCATGTCGCAGGCATGCGCATGCCCAATTCTGAAACTCGCTACAACGACTGACCTCACAGCGCCCGAGGGCCCACGAGCACACACAGGTCTTTTTGGAACCCTATCTTGCTAAAGCCCGGGGGTAACTTTTTGGGGAACTCTAGAACAACTCTTTGGGCCCCGAAGGCGGGCGGGAGCAAAACAAACAGATCACAGTGGAGAAGTGCACCCTCACTCCGTGGGCTGCAAAAATGTATGCGACCAACCTCTAATGACAACCAAGTTCTTTGCTATGCAAATTTGGCTCGGCCCGGACCCCCTCTCCAATTCTCGGCTTCACGCCTTCCGCCCAGGTCTGCTTGCCGCTCAAGGAGAATGAGCCTCAGTGGCTATTGCGCAAAGCACATTTTTGCTGGTTTGTGGAAGGAACAGCACGTGTGCGCGTGTGTGTTTCCAACAGTTACACTGCAGGTCGATGTGGGGCTCAAGAACCAAAAATCAGCAAACAATGTGACCCTTATTTTGTCAACCCTCTGAAATAACCTGGACCCCCAAGAAGCCATCGGAGAAACAGGCAGGGAACTTTTTGCGAGTTCAACCGCAAGGTCGGATTGGGATTGTTGTTGCTGGAGTCGTTTTTGTTTTGTTTTTTTCTCTCTCTCTCTCTCTCTTCTCTTCTCTTCTCTTCTCTTCTCTTCTCTCTCTCTTCTCTCTCTCTCTCCCTCTCCCTCTCCCTCTCTGAGAGAGACAGAGAGACCAACTAGACCAACTTGCGACTTGCCAAAAGTCATTCGCGCAAAGCCAGATACACAATGGGGATATGGGCTCTGAAATTCGACACGCCCCGCTAAGCCTCTAAGCCTTTCTAAGCCTCTAACCCCTCTAAGCCTCCGACTCAACGGCCCGCCTCCAAGCCTTTAAGCCTCACGCCCTAAGCCTCTAAGCCCCCTTTAGGCACACAAGCTTCTGAGCCTCTAAGCCTGCGCCCCTAATTCAGGCCTCTAAGCCAGGCTGAGGCCCCTACCAGCTTAGGCGCTTAGAGGCTTAGGCGCTTCGGGCTGGATCGCGGCTTCAGCGCGGGCACTGGGAGGTTGCTCAGAGCCGAGTGATTTATCTTGGTGGTTTGCGTGTTGGGAGTGGTTTTCCCGTTTACCCTCTACAAGATCAATCATCTGAAATCTGTGACGCCCTTGCTCGCCACACGCTCGCCCGCGCAAAGCATTAACAAAAGACTACTGGGCACGCCAGAAGTCAACGGGTGCCAGTTTAGCTACTCGACTATTTCTACAACACTCAGGATTGTGTGGTCTTAGACATTTCTTTACGTTTGTGTGGCGCCTGGTAAGTTTCCTTTGAAAGGACACTTGAGGACTTTACTTCTATGAATTGACAGGTTTCTAGCTTGCAGTATTGAAGGGGGTCCGGTCGTAACATCCACTCCTTTGTCAGGGGTCATGCCAAAGGTCTGTTGCAGTTAAGCAGAAAGTGACTAAGCAGGGCTTCGTCGGATGCTATATAGTTGTTGTGAGCCCTTGACCTTATCTTCCTTTCTTTACCGTTGTTTGGCGCTGGGTGCGGGTTCCTCCTTCGTTTGCAAGGCGCCCTGATGACTTTGCTTCTGCGTGTCCTTTCACAAACAAACGTTGGCAGCGTGGCCCGAGCTCAGCTTTGCAATGACGCCTAAGGGCGTGGGTTTGTTCGATCAGCTGCACAGAATCCGACCTTGGGCAATCAACAGGCCGCGCGAGGTCCTCGCCCCTATAAGCTTCTAAGATTCTAAGCTTCTGCGACTTCCAGCCTCTACGCCACTTTACGCCTCGCAGAATCCTTCAAAGGCTTAGGCTCCTAGAAGCTAAAACGCTTGAAGGCTTAGGCGCTTGCAATAAAGGCTTAGGTGCTTAAAAGCTTGGAATAGAGGCTGAAGCGCTTTGAGGCTTAAGAGCTTGGAATGGAGGCTTCGGCGCTTGAAACAGAGGCTTGGGTGCTTAGAGGCGTGCGTCTCCAAGCCTCCACGCATCCAAGCTTCTAACCCTCCAACTTGCACTGGCGAACGGGGCGTCCGTAAGCCAACCACACAAACCACGGCTAAATTACGGACAATATTGACAATTATGCGTCATTTGTTTCATCTTGGTTCCTTCCCCTTGCGGTTCTCGAGTTGGCCGCACCCATCAAACGACTGAAAATCTCCGTGGCGCTGGTTTGGAACTTCTGGCTCCCGGAGGCGAGGGCATCCGCAATGCGACCCCCCACGCCCTTGGGTGAGGCGCCCCCCACCTGGCGGAGGCGACGCGCGCGGAAGGGGTTGACTGTTTTTGGAACTTCGGAAAGGGCACTCAACAACTGGGCTACTCTTTGGAGGGAAGCGAATTAACAAAAAAGAGGCTGTGCCTTTTAAAGAAAATGGGGGCTGTAAAAGAAGGGGCATGACAGGAACACCGCCGCTGGGGGGGCAGGGTTAAGCCTCCTTGCTCAGGTGAAACTTGGCTTTGTTTGTCACTCAGGTGGAGAAATTCACCAAGCAAAAAGCGAACAAGAGCGCACGCATCAAACAAAACACTGTAAACCAGCCTGTCAAGCACCAACCACTGCGAGTACCTTTGTCGAGACAAACCCACTTGATAGAATTTTGTTGCATGTGAAAGCTCTGGTAAGGGCATTTTGCATGCGCTCCCTTCAGACACGTGCTCGCCCATGAGCCGCCTTATCCCGTGCAACATGATTGGCACAATATGGTCAGTCTTTGGCATGAACATGCTATGCAGTCTGCCCATGGCCTGTTCATGACCAGGACGCTGGTTGGTGAAGCAACCAACATCTGCCACAGCACCCGTTCCTCATAGAAAAGAACGGCCTTCAGAGATTGGCCAAGTGTGGAGGTCACTGGGTGGATCAACGCACAAGTTGGCATTCTGCTTATTGATTCCTTCAGATGACCGCTCTGCACCATGCGCTGCACAGCTGCATTCTCAGTTGTTGAACTACCATTGCCTGCTGGAATGATTGAACATTGCCGAGGGTGAAAGCGCTTCCCTGTTGTTTTTGCCGGAAACAGCGGTCCAATCTAGGTCAAGTTCGAACTTTTAAGCTGCCACTCCCAGACCCCGCCTGGCACTTCAGCGTCTTGGCTGCTTCAGACTGGTCGGAGTGCGAGAAAAGGCCCACCTCGCCAGCCACAAATGGCGTGTGGAAGCAGCCATCAGTGCGTGTCTTTTTCCGAGGGTAGTGGAAACAAAGGGAAACCAAAAGGAAAAACGACAATTGTCGCACAAACTGCCGAGGCGCACAGCTGCGTTTGGACCCGTCCTTGTACTCGTACCGTGTGAGCGGCTCCTAAGGAGGCGGAAAGCCAATCGAGAGAAGGCCCCAAACCACACAACCTTAAAGGTGTGATGCTTTCGGCTGTGCAGATCAAGGCCTGCATTCAGGCATCCTTCAATGGGAATGACCCATGTCAGGTGGTTGCGCCATGTAAAGATCCTTCGGTGCCAAATCCAAACTCTGAACATTTCATCTTTGACTGGCCCTTCGCCAATTTTGGGACCAGCAAGCTGGTGAATTGTTCAATGCACCCAGAGAGAATAATGTTAATGTCGACTACAACCGGAAAATTAGCGTCTTGAAAAGCTCGGCTTTAACCCTGCTCATTTGCCAGCTAGAAATGTCGGACGCACACGGCCAATGCGTCCAAGGAACCACCAGTGAGCCCACATTGGTAAAAATGGCCGCCTGTTCCGCATTGTAGAGTTCCCGGATCCGAGAGAACTTGTGGTGGATGGCGAACTTCCTGGGCGTTTTCGCCACTCTCCTTTTGTCGGAAAAGAAAACGCGGCCCACCAACACGCCAAACCGAATATGCAAAAACGCTGGACAACGCTTGAAGCATGGAATGTTGCGGCAGCACTTGCGGTGGGCGGGTTTCATCGACGACGCAACTTGGATTTGTTGGAAGGCGCATTCCAAGCAACCTCCGTTACCCCTTCTTCATTTTGGTAGCCCAACTAAAGGGCGGCACAGGGCCAAAACTGACAACCAAGTATCCCGGTTCCGCCCCCCGCAATGGGGCGGTCTCATATTCAAGTCAGGACCGGTAAGGACCTGGAAATCAAAGGCCATCACTGTTGGGGCCGGGCCTCTCAAAGCATTCCGGATCCCTGATAAAGACATCACCCCAGAAGTAATCTCTTCAAATGGCCAAGTGATGTTTAAATCTTAGGGAAGCATAAGGACTCCACGTGGACCAGCCAGGAAGAAACCCAAAGGACACCCTGGGGACGATTCGCTTTGAAGGTTTTGGAGGTCCAAAACTCAGACTTAAGGTGTTGAGGTCAAAAACTTAAAACTCAGACTTTCAAGGTTTTGGAGGTCGAAAACTTAGACTTTCGAGGTTTTGGAGGTCCAAAACTTAGACTTTCGGGAGTTCAAAACTTGAACTTTCAAGGTTTTGGAGGTCCAAAACTTAGACTTTCAAGGTCCAAAACTCAGGAAAGTAAGTTGTGAGCAAGGAACTCGATTTTCTGGCTCCTAAACCATCCAAAATAGGATGAATGGGTTGGCTTTTCGTCAATGGGCTTCGTGGCACCCAAGTCTAACTTTCGACAAGCATGGGTCTTTGCAGTCGACCAGACATTGGGTTCCCCTTCAGTTCCCTTTTGGAGAGGTCAGTATCACAGAAAGTGAACCCAACAAGTTGCCCACAACCTCGTTTCCTTGTCCCCCTTGTGAAACCAATCAAAAAGTGCTGTCGCAGAAAGTGGCCCTAAAAACAAGTGTTCCACAACCACTGGTTGTCTTTCTCTGCCCTTCAAAACCATTTCACGTAATTAAAGGAGTTAGTGCCACATATACTTGCGCAAGCAACACAAAGTGTCTTTTTGTGTGTGTGTTCCCTTTGAAGACATCAAACATGGGGTCGGCATCGTAAACATGTCGCCAGCAGAATATTCAACAGGTCTATCCGAAGCTTCGCGCAGGTCTGCGTGCTCTTCACCGGAATCTCCAGCAGCTGGCTGTTGGCCAAGGCGGACACCGACCTCACCTGGAGGTACTCAGCGTGCAGGTCGCAATCGATGGGCACCTAGGGCACAACACTTGGGAGCTTGTGTCTTCTAAGGCTAAGGGCACCCTGGACCATCATGAAGATTGAGCACCAAGCATGGGCTTGCTTGCGTTTTTGTTGAGGGTGATCTTCGGGGCTGTTTGTTGGGGAGCCTGGTGGCTTGTGCACAACCCAATAAAGATACGGTTGTACAAAATGAGATGCACAGCCACAGGGAGAACATGAAATTTACAGCAGCATCCACGAGCAAGTCTCCCCTATCAGCTCTTTAAGGTCACCCTGCCGAAACGAAACCGGCTCAAAAGGTACAGCTGAACTACCGCCAGCGGCGGACACATGGGGGCCTGTCGCAGGGAGAAGCAAACGAGCCGGGCACACAACTGAAGCTTGACAAAGTGAGCCATTTGCCAAGACATTTCGTGCAAGAGTTTCAAATGAGCATCTCCGGGTCCGAGCCGAGAGGATCTAGCCTGAAAGAAAAACACTGGTGAACCCCCGACTCCGAGGCGCTTCATGGAAGGGCTGAGGGAACGGACAGCGTGGCCGCACTTTGTCAAGGCTACGGCGCGTTACGAGTGCGCCCAACTAAGTTGATGCCATTGGTTCCAGCTGAGTTGTCCCACTCTACCAACTGGATTATTTTTACAACTTCACTCCAGGGCCAGCAAAGTCAGACAGGCCGAGGCAAGCACCACCAGATTGAAGGAGTCGGCCCCGCCGTTCAGGTAGAGATTCACCACAGCCTGTGCTAAGCGACGGCGACGTTTACACTGGCAACCAAAAGGAAATCTCGAAAAAAGGGGAGTGCTGGCCCCAATGTATTTGGTAGGAAGGAATGGGACATATCCGGATCTTTGAGTTTGATAGGACCTAGAACCACCATGCAGAACTCCTGGCTCCCTCTCCAAAGCCGTGGCTCCCTTCCAACCACTAGCTAGGCCAGTCACAATTAAAGGGAAAGCCAGAATGGAATTCAATAACAGCGCAAAACTCCATGGGAAGTCCTCAACAGAGAGCGGTCCAACAAATCCCCGAGTGGATTTGCCAAATAAAGTCCAAACTTGATGCGGAACTGATTTTTCCGCTGAAGGGGGAATGTCGTTGGGGCCCTGCCCTGCCCAGCGCGTGCCTTCGTGTTCAGCGTTCTTTCTCAGGAAAGCTTGCTGTTGCAGAATGCTTTGGATCCTTGAGCAAACTGAAATGATACTTGAAACGAAACCTACTCCTGATTGTAGGAGCACGTGTCAAAATAGGGCCACTAAAGCAGCTGGCTTTGCATTTCGCGGCCGAATTTTTCGGTACACAAACAACACCACCTGTTGGAACCAATGAAGCCCTATGAACCGGACAAGCCGCCTTCAAACCCCAGTATTGCTCATTTGCCGCCTTGTCAAAAGTGTGCGGAGGCCAACAAAATACCCTTGCCATTCCAGGCGGTCCTTAATTTGAGACGCCCTTCGGCCCAAACTGCTTGTGGATGCCCGTAGAAGCCCATGAATTTGCACTAGTTGCCATGATTCTGTGGTTGGGTGCTGGCTTGCTTCCCATATGGGCTCAGTGCGTGCACCCTGCTACTTGGACAAAGGGCGTTTGTTTCCTCCGTTTCCGAGAAATCAGCAAACAGTGAATAATTCTAGGAACTCCCACTTGTTTCTGGTAAGTATTTGGATTTCCTGCCGGACTTTAACGGTTTCCAACTAATTTCTGGTGGGTATCCAGTCTCTCATATTTCCTGCAGAATCTGCTTATCAATTTCTTAGACTCCGTTTCCCGCGCTTTTGCTTCGCATGTTGACCCTGGAACAACCATTGTCATTTTTTGGCGCAAGGCCCCTCTTGTATAATAGGTAACGCAGTACTCGTTCTGCAGCCATTACAAAAGGAGAGCAGCAGAGCGCCTTACATGAATAATCCACAGATCACAGGACCAGGGACATCCATTCTCAGTTCCTCCACTATTGGCATATTGGAGTCTCTTGCAGAATAGATCCAGGGACCACCACATACATTCTCTACTACCACAAGGTACCTGTTCCCTTCCCCCAGCAGTGGTAGCGGAGCTGGTTTTCCACAGAGATCCAGACACAATGTCATCCGATGGAGAAGGCTTCATGGATGCCATTCAAGTGTTGGCCGATAATTCGGCTACACTGAAGAGACGCTCAACTTATCGATGACCGCCAAGCAGCCGCCATCGCACGACGGAAAAGTCAGCTGGTTTAGATATGAAGAACTTGTAGATGATTGGGTGACCTTCACCACCATCGAGGCATCCAAGAGAGGACCACTCCTCAAGAGCCGTCTCACTGGAGACGCTCACATGTACAAGGCAGTCCTCCAGAATGACCTCTTGCAAGACCCTGACGAAGGAGTTAACTTTTTCAAGAACACGCTGAAGAAGTTCTTCCTGAAAGGGTCGACCAACGTGTACTTATACAGACTTCTCAGTTTCTTCAATCACAGGAGGCAGAACACCGAGTTCCTCATATTCACATCAAAATTTGAGATTCTCTTGATGCAGTACAAGATGCCAATGCAAGAAGAATTGCCGCGCACCAGCAAGCAGCTGGTACACGAGCACCGCCTCCAGACCTGCTGCAAATCGACAATCCAGAAGTACTCAGGCAGTACCTCACCGGCATGCAGACAAGGCACAGGGACGCATTTCCCCTCAGCGACAACCTCATTGCACAATTTTTCATAATACAGAGTGAATTGTCAGATCAGCAGAGAGAAAGACTAATCAGTGCAATGTCATTGAGAAACATCTCGCTTGAGAACTACACCTACGAGATGATGAAAGCGCAGTACCACGACCTCTTCATCACGACCAGAACGTCCATCCAAGATCCATCCATCCGACCTCCCGGAGCAAATCGGAGCAATACCTTCTACATCCTGGAACAAGGAGAATACGAAGGTGAAGAAGGATTCTGGGTGGAGGACGAAGAAGGACTGGAAGGTTTCATGTCAACCAACGATGAAGAGACATTTTGGGTATTGGAGGAGAACGATGCGTTCAAATCCCAGAAAGGTGTCTGGGCGGCAAAAAGGGCAGTCACCAACGAGGTGGCTTCAAACCCTTTCGAAAAGGTAGCTCTGGCGGGAAGGCCAATATGGCCAATGAATATCAGGATCCCTACGACAAGGCATATTGGGGAAAAGGCAAAGGAAAGAAGGGAAAGAAAGGAAAATCAACATTCCAATATCCCTATGATGGAAACAAAGGTTATCCATCCTATGACAATGGCAAAGGAAAAGGCGGACAAGAAAAAGGAAAATCCAAAACGTTCGCAGCCATCGCAGAGAAGACGGAGGAGCAGCCCGCCATCCAGCAGACTGCACCATCCACAGAGCCTACCTATGCCAGTTGGACAGATCAAGATTGGAATTGGAGTGAACAAGGCTGGTACTCATCCCATGAGACATCCAGTGCAGGACAAGCGATGATGGCATTCCACGACGCATATGAGCAGGATGAGAAGGACGCCATCCACGAGAAGCTGATCCAATCCGATACAGTTTCAGAGCAGTCAATGACAGCGACAGCAAAACAAAGCCTTTTGGCAACAAAGCTGATGGCGCCTGTCATCAACCCACAGCACAAGCCGACCTATGCGATCCTGGACAACGGATGTACCAGATCCATGGGCAGCTGGCATGCAATCCAGCGTTTTACCCAGGCCATCGAACCCATTCTCCTACTCGTACATCCCGGCCGAGACCAAGTTCACTTTTGCAAATGGAGAGACAGCCAAGGTAAGCTGGACCTTGCACCTCAGGTATCATACGACACCTCCATGCAGCACCAACATCGACATCCTTGAACAAGGCACTGTACCGATCCTCCTAAGCATCAGTGGGATGCGGAACCTGTACATGTTCGAGCACACACCTCGATGTGACAAGATCACATGTAAGGCTTTTGGCATGAACCGTCAAGCAGTTCCAGTATCCGGTGCAGGACATGCACTCGTCGATCTTGCTGGAGTAGCAAGGGTGAAATCCCATGGAGAGATTGTCACCAAGGGCCTCACCAACTACGTTTACGATGATGACAACAGCATCCAATTCCCTTCGAGGGAACACTCAGAGAGAATAGAGAGAGTGAACAAGTCTGTGCATCCAAGGAAACCGAGGCGAAGGAAGAGATAGCGACTCCAAAAATTATTGGTTCTCTCAAGCAGGATCACTGGATACCCGACAAGAAGAACAAGCAGCTCATCCGCGTGCGCATCACGCCTCGCAAGGCGCTGTTCACACCAACGGGAGCGAAGGAGTCCAGTTAATCCTGACAACATCAGCCGAGAGCGTACAACGGAAATCATTGATGCATCCGAAGGTGGAGATCCACAAATCCTTGAAGACAATTGGAGACTTACATCCCAGGCGAACAAACCATTGATCAACAAGACCATTTTTACCTTCGGGGACAATTCGCTGAAGGACAAAGAATCCGGTTCAGGATCGGCAGCAGACAGGATCATCGGCAAGAAGCTCCACCTTCAGCATCATCATATGACTACAGACCAATTTCGATTCAGGACTCGTGCGCTGCACTTGCCAAAGTCAATCTACGATCTATTTTGACAAAACCCGAAGTGAATGTGAAGTTTGCCAAGCAGCAAAACATGCACCATCACGAAGCAAGACGGGTGGACTTCGAGCGGACACATTCGGAGACATGACATTCATTGATCACTGTCAAGTCCCTCTTGGAACTGGAGAACATATCACTGTTTTTGTCATCCTGGATGGAGCAACGACATTGCTCACCGCTGAGGCAGTGACAACTACGCAGGAAGCCGAGAACATCACTGTCCTCAGGAACTACTTTGACCAGTACCACCTGCAGCCAAAATCAGTTGTCGGCGATCAGGCCTTCATGACGAAGACATGGGAACATTTCTACCAATCCCTTGACATTACACCAGAATCGCTGGGACCAAATACACCATGGCCGAATCGAGCTGAATCAGCAGTTCGGCTATTGAAGGCTCAGCTGAAGATCATGCTCAATTCGATTAAGTCGGGCAATGCACCGGCGACATTGAAGAAAGTGACATACCGACAACTTCTGAAGGCAGCAGCAACTGTCAGAAATCAAACTGTCACCTACGGGGGTGTAACACCTCTGGAGCTCGCATTCGGACGAAGACCTGCAGATCTCATCCAGTTGATGTCGCAACACCAACTCATATTGACGATCGACAGGAATGAGGAAGAGCTTACAGCAATCCAAATCAAGCAGCTATCCAAGCAGGCATTCCAAGAGGCTCGTCAATCCGAGGACATCAGAAGAGACCTTGCTCAGAACTTCAGGATGAGCTCCAAACCTCTTCAGGTGAAGGGCAAAGTATTTTACTGGCAGGAAGACAAATCCATGATTCCCTGGACATCGGCTATTGATTCTAACCAATAACTTTCGATTCCTATTGAAACAGCCTTTTCTTCAATAAAACTAATTGATTTTTAAGAGCTCTAGAATCAATACCAAAGCCCCCTTCAAAATCAATAAAAACAGCTCATAAAAAGCAAGCCAAATCAGTAACATCAAGAGAAACCATAGCTGTGTTATTTCCCAATGAAATGCAAAGTCAATAAGCAGTGACAGATATACACCCGCACCCTAAGGCTGCAAGATTCTTAACTTAAGAAGCTAAACGGGAGAAACTACACAAATACTTGTTTACAAAGGGCTAAATAATTTCATTTCTAGTATGCTCCCATACTCATGGCCAAAC